GGCTCCTGACGTGCCCTTTCTTTTCCCCTGTGTGGCAGCTGGAGGGTCCTGCGCTCCCAGTACCTGCAGGCACAGGACAAGGAAGCACCGGGTGACGGCGTACGCCAGGTATCGCTAGCGAACCGCCTCCGTGGGGCCTGCCCCTGGTTTCACTGCGCTGTGTGAAGCGCAGGGTTGAGGAGGTCTTAAAGTAAGAATTTGGCAGAGTTGGATGAGCTTCGCCCTTCTGTGTACCTTCTTAAGTAACCGCCAGCTGTGTGGAGAAGCTCTGCTCTGCGCTGGTTGTGAGTCAGGGCTGTGGCCATGCGCAGAAGTTATGGTCGTGGGATTCTTGACACCCTGCGTACCTTATTTACCTGCAGACTGACTTCTTGCTTGTGATCTCTGTTAGGCCTGTTTTAAAGGGGAGATTGCAGTATGGTTAAAACGGATATTTAGCACTTTAGTTACTTGAGCTACCTAAATGTTATTTTTCAACTTCAAACGATTAGGCTTTGCTGTTTCGGTTTGTTTCTTTAAGATGTTTTCTTTACTTTCTAATTTAAGTAGATTTTTAAAAATGAATCAATCGGTTTTAATTAATTTGGCTCAGTTATTGTTAATATACTTCTGGTGTTTTTGCTTGTGAAGAACTGCGTGTTGGCTTAAGAAGATGGAGAGAGCAGGATGGCTATTGAACTAGTGGTGACAGGCAGAAAGTGATTCTTTTGCTGGTGCATTTGCAGTATGAAATTTTGATCTATGGTAAATGAGCTTATATTCTGATAAAGTTACAGTATTGTCATTTTTTATTATTTGTCTCCATATTATTATTTGTCTCTGTATTCTGTCCTTTGAGTCTACCTGTGGTGCAGTAACTGTGCCTCAGATAAACGTACCCAAACTTGCTGTCAGTGGTCACGCCAACAACTGAGGTCTGGCAATGTGATGTACAAAGGCCATTCAAAAAGCCAGTGAATTCTTGTTCTGTTTATCCAGGATGAGGTTTTTTTGCCATAAGTGCACTGCTTTAAAAAGCAGATGTGGGTCTGCTGGTAAGTTGCACTGTGAGGAGAGTAGGTAAAATGACGCTAAGCATTAGGTTACAGCTTTAGTTTTCTTACCTGTTATCAGACTGCATTTGAAGTGCAGTGGGGTGGTTGGTCTTGACAATGTCATTTTTCCGTCTTTTTGGTTTGGTTTTCTTCTTCTTTTTTTTTCCTTATTCTTCTCAGAAACAAGAATCAAACTTTGCCGCAAAGGATTGGTGTGATGAAGCAGATGACTGGGGAGTCTGCGATGGAGCAGAATCTCCTGCGTGTGCCTCCCTTCAGCTGCTTGGCTTAGATGAAGCAGTGAGCAGCTGCTTGTCCAGAGAGGGGGAGTGTGCAGCCCAGTTCCAGCAGCTTTGCCTGTCTGAAGCTATGGATGAGGCTGGTTCTCTGGACGCATATCCTCCCGCCAGCGAGGGAATGGTAATGGCAACGTCTAGTTCAGCTCCTGTGTTCCAGCCCTTTTACATTAGTGTTGTGGATGAGGAAGACTACACTGGTTTCCTTGACACAGATCATGCAGATAAGCTGTTGAGGGAGTACCAGCAGAGAGAGGGAGTTGATTTGGAACAGTTGATGTCAGAAAGGTGAGAACAGGTCTGGATTTCCTGCTGAAGATGAAGAGATTGTGTAATTTCCTGTATGCTAATTGATAATCTAAATATGACTCTCATTAAATCTGAATGTTTTTTGTTCATAACTGGGTCCTTGAGGAAGCTAGTGTGTAGTATGTTGCTGGAAGAATACAACGATGCACCCAGTTCTGTCAAATTTTAAGTTATTCAGAGATGCATCTATTTCTGAGTGACTGAGCAATGGGAATGCCCTTGGGCTCCAGGTAGAGCAATGGATCATGAGTCTCTGAAACCAAACCACTGTGGTTTAAACATTTTATGCTAAATGGCATGAGTTTGTATTTTTTCTCGTTACAAGGCTAAAGCTTTTCTTATATGCTGGTTGAATTCCAAAGAACTTAATTGCTTAGGGATTTTGAGTAGAGACTGGGGTGATGGTAAGACTCCTGAAGACTTTGCAAAGGTTGTTACTGGAAATATTTTCAGTGTTAACTTAGATGATCACAGTGAGCACTTATATCCAGACCATTTCTCTTTTGATCATACTAACATTTACAGTGACCTTTCCTGAATTGTGGACAATGTTGAATTTTTTGATAATCAAAGCTGCTGTCAATTGCAGGATCTGCGTAGAATGCTTTTTACTAGTTGAGTTTTGTTGACCTTTAGAGAATCATAGAACTTTAATTACACTTGATTAAAAATTCAAAAGACAACATTGTAATTTAAAAACTAGCAAAACTTCTGAGAAGTTACTAAAGGAATGTGATTTTTTTAAAGGAGGTATCTGGTGAATTTGAATCTTGTGGTAGTTTGAAATACTGTTAGTAATCGTAAAACCTCTTAACAGGAGTTGCATCTTTATTTAACATGTATAGGATTTTTTTCAGTGTACTTAGCATAGTTTTATGTGAATGTGTAGTAACCATTGCTTGTTTAAAGCATGCATGTTGTACTGAAAAGCTTATTGGAAATTTTGTTTCTTTTCTTGTTTTCTTATAGTTTTGCAGGTGAAGATGTTAATGAAAAATACGAGAAGAGTGAAGCCAAAAGCAGGGACTACACATTCCATAAATTTATGAAAAGAATATCTATGTGTCATGAACAGATTCTAAGGTGTGTTGATCGCGTGGTTGTAACAGTGCGATATAGAACATAGACATGGATTGTTAGTACATCAAAATAAATCCTTTCATTGGAAATAGATGTGTATTTTTGTTTCCTAATAAGAAAAATGACTAAGAGGGTTGTTTCTATGCTTATGTGGTCAGGCTTTAGTCCCTAGTTGGGCTCTTTTATACAAAGTACAAGCAGTTGAGAATCAAAGCAGGATCAGAGACCCCATATCTGGCTACAGGAGACTTTATTCAACATATCTGATGAGAACAGACCCAGTCAGCCTTAGGAGACTCGCTGAAATCCAGGCATAGAGATTTTCAAGTGGCAGTTACGAGGTGAAAGTATAATACACAGTGGTATGCTGTTCTGGTAGTTCCAAGGCTATCTGCTCCTCTAAAATTCTGTAACCTTATTGTAATTGCTTATGTCTCAGTCCTTGAGATGTTACTGAAGTAAGAAACCACTCGTTTTAAAGCCTGAATTCTTCTGCAACTTACTGTGATTACCCCTCGGGACCCTGCAGTCTTCAGTTCTTGTAGATCTGTTGCTTTTCGTAGAACAAAAACAGATTTAGTCTCAGAGCAGCTACTTTCCTAAAATAGGAGTTAATTTTGAATGAAAGTGTAACAAAGAGTTCAAAACATAAATTTTTCATAGTGCCAAATAACACATGTAGTTTTCATGGATCATACCAAGTGTTAGTTTTTAACTTCTTTGTTCCAGAGAGTCCAGTGCAGCCTGTCTGGCCAAGCTGTCTCAGTGTAGTGTCTCAGTGTTGTTCATCAGGTTTGCAGAACCAAGTGGAACTAACTGGTACCTTTTTGATGAGAAGGTAAAGTTTGAGGGGCTGCTTACAGCCTTGGTCACACAGCTAAGAAACATTAGAAACTTTCCATAATTATCTGTCAAAGATTATACAGAAAATGTACTAATGCAGAGTGCCAGTAAAATTTTCAGACAACTTTTTTTCACTGGACCTATCACTTTGCAGTAGCATGCTCTTTGTGTTTTCTGTTCTGGAACATGGTATCTTGTGATCCCTATGACTATCACTAGTTATAATCTTTATGCAGCCCTCCTGCTCTCTTTCATGGGTGTTGTGAGTATGCCTGTTAGCCCCCCATGCTTTCTGGGCTGCCAGATCTCTGTTGATCTCCCAGCACAGCTCAGAATTCCCTGCTTGGCATTCAGTGCAAACAATGATTGATCTTGGTTTCCTGTTAGTTTTAGAGCTATGATAGGTCTTATAAATGAAACATCAGTTCTGTGGTGTAGCTACGGTGGTTTTGAGACCTGTTGTATGTTGACCGTCTTTACCACTGGTTAGGATTCCAATTGCTTAATTAAATTAATCAAGTACAGCAGAAGTGTCAACTCAAAGCATTTCTCTCCTTTAAATTCAGCTCTTAAGACTTCCTAAGTGTTGACCTTCCAGATATTTCCCCCTCCCTGCCTTTGTTCATCTGAAGCTTAGGCACTGATTGTGGCTCATAACAATGTTTTTTACTTCAAGCAAGGTCAGAGGTTTCAGAGAATCCTGAGCACCGTTGTCACTATGTATATTTTCCTATGAAATTTAGATACAAAAGAATGAGTACGTTTTTCCTTTCTTCCTTAGATACTCCCGGGGTGGCCAGCCTTTATTCATAACGTGTCCTCCAGCCAACATTGATAAAGGTATTCCAGCCTGCAGCAACTGTGGAAGCAACAGAATATTTGAATTTCAACTCATGCCAGCGCTCGTCAGCATGCTCCAGAGTGATTCAGGTGTTGACCTTTGACTTAGCTGAATGAATACTAGAAATAGTCACCTTCTTGAAAAAGTTTAGTGAGCTGCAATTTGGATTGTTTCTTGCTAACCGCACACACTGATGGGCGTAACTATAGTGATCGTCTTACATAGAATCCACTCTGTTTCCACTGTAGAGTTCAGTAAGCAAAAGATAGAACTCTGGTTCATGGAGACACTACGATTGCAACTTCATTTGCTCGCTTGTGAACTTTAATAGCAGCAATGCAGATAATTCCATGACTTTGGGAGTAATTAGTCTTTACTGCCTCTTAAACGAGGCTTTGGAAAATAATATTGTCAGGTAAGATTTAAGACACTCAAGAAGCCCTTTGAAAATTCTGAGTCAGCTTGCTTTACAGTCTTTAAAAAATACTTTAAAATTACAAAATGCTATGTCGGAGACTGAATATGAAAAATATTTTCTGAATTAACAAAGATTGAAGTATAGCAGTAAGCAATAGCCCCTGATAATGTCATTTCTCACACGTTTGTGTTACATTCCTTTACTGCTTTGTTTTTAGATCTTTCAGTGGAATTTGGAACTGCAATAGTTTACACATGTGAGAGAAGCTGTTGGCCAACAAATCATCAAACCCCTCTTGAAGAATTTATTTTTGTACAAGAAGACCCAGATCAGAGGTTATTTAAATAAATTGCGTTTCTCCACATAGATGGAAAGTCTGGTTTTTTACTACAGGTAAAAGTGTAATTATGCAACAGAATTTTCCTCAGATGTGGTGAAAAATGAAATCCACTTGATGACATTGTGTTTATTTCCAAGAGTAACTGGTTGAAGTATGTGTTAGCATGCCTCTGAAATGTGGTGACAGAAAACTTGCATGCTTTGGTAAGGCTTGGAAATTTAAGTGCAGGGGTTGTTTCATGATTCTAGTTACACTTACTGTTTGGGGAGGAAAGTAAAAGGAGAAACATTACCTTATTGTAGTTAGTTATGCTGTTACCATTCATCACCCAGACAGGATCCAGTTTTTTGAAACTATTAGCAGTGATAATCTTTCTGTAGGCTTGACATTCAAAGCCAGATCTGCCTTGTTTTGACCACAGATTGGAAATTCAGTGGACGGTGGCTGAAAGGGCCTTGCTGTCACTACAGTCTTCCCATGGTGAAGCTTTTCTCTGTGTTTTTCCAGTGAAGAATAAGTGACGTTTGCACAGCGAAGTGAGCTCCGACAGCGAGGTCGCTTTGGCTGGGGAAAAGGAGGAGGTTTTTGTCAGCCCCTCTGTGACTGCGAGTGCAGCCCCTGCCCCCCTGCTGCAGCCCGGTGCTTGCGGGCACGTGTGCTGCTTTGGTTAAAACAGTCCAAATCCTTCTGTGGAGGTCCCTGTGGGCTTAGGCTGAATTGCAGTATTTTAATTGACTTAATGGAGGAGTAATTTAAGTAAGTGTCCTTAAAGCTTTTTGCACAGATTTAATGCTGCAGCATAAATTAACGCACTAGAAGAGTGGGTTTAAAAAAAAAAAAAAGGAGGGGAGCTAAAATGATGGAATGTGTTTGCAGAACTACTTTTTTTTTAAGAACGAAGCGTAGCTTGCCATGTCGGCTTCCAGAGGGGTCAGTTAACGGGGGCTAAGGGGCACAAATCTGGTGTTATGGCTGGAACGCCGCCAGCGCTTCGCCGGCGCTTT